TCTATTATTGACTCCATTGTTTACATTTTGACTACTCTCTTTAAGGTGTGCATGAACGTTTAATTTGGTGTTAACATGAAATAAAGTGTTTCTTAATACAATCTGTAGGATTGCTCCTAATTTGAAACACAACTGTTTTTACAGTATAATTCTTAGTTAGATTTAATATAATTTTTGTCTCAAACATTTATTAGGGACTCCATATGAATATATTACTTTTCGTGCTTAATTTTGAAAGGGATTTTAAAAATATTATTAAAATAATAAATGTAATATATAAATATAATATATAAATATAATATATAAATATAATATATAATAAAATATTAAAGGTTGTCATTACGAAACAGCATGACTACATTTATTTTTGGTAATTTGCGTGCATCGGAACTAAGCAAGAAAAAGGGCATCGAAAGTTATTTTTTTCTTCAAACACATTTAAAGTTAACTAGAAACTTATGTCAATTTACATTCATATTATGCATTTATAATACAGTCTGACTTTATTACAACCTCTCATTACTATAACAATTCCTTTATAACGACTAATACAGAAAGTATCATTTACTATTCTATACATTGTTAAAACTATAGCCTGAGATTTCACCAAATTTAGTATTAATAAAGTCAAATAATTGTGTGAAGGAATGCTTTATTTTAAGTTGACACCAAATAAAGTGTTCATATATTCTTTAAAGGGTATCGTAATATCTAAACACTAAAATGCTTACACCAAGCTCATGCACAATCACACGATTCGTAAATTATTTTTGTTTCCGGAAAAGCCATTTTTTTCGTACTTAAAATATCATCGGTAGGTTGTTTACATTCGAGTTCGAAATGGCAGAAATTTATTATTGTCTTGCACACTGATATGCATTTACAGAAACAAAAGTTTGCAGTTACAAATTAATAATTCTGAGTTTATATTGTATCGTAAAAATTACCAACTCTTATGTGCATCTTAATTATAAACTTCGGTGTATCTGAATAATATCAAAAATAGTGGCATCTACTTTACGCCAAGTGGTGTAAAAAAACATTGGGTCAGTGAAACATTAGATTCAAGAGTTATGTATGTCATTTCACTACACTAATTTGGTGTAAAGTGGCTGCTACCATTTTCGATGTAAAGATAACAGTGTGCTTACTTTTACTCGTATCGTAAAAATAACTTTAATACTGATTCTTATGTGTAGTATTATATCTTATTGTTATAATAAACTTTAGTGTTACTAAAAACTAAAAATGTTGGCAACTACTTAACGCCTAAAGCAGTGGAATATTCCTGGCATTTCACGATACCAAGAAACTGTCCTTGGTGTTCTATTATACAAAGAACTATATCAGGTGTTTCATTACATATTTTTGGTGAAAAGTAGTTGCCACCTTTTTATAGTTCAAAATTTAAAAGTTGCTAAAAACGTAAATTTTTTGCCAAGAATTCGTGGTTAAATTGCTTTAATTAAGCAATTGAATTTTTTTGTGAAGATTTCTGATGACCACATGTAAAAATATTTTTCAGCAATTCAAAATAATAATAATAAATGATCTTTGAAATATTTTAACGAATATTTTTCCAGTTGCACTGCCTGACACGCTTTTACATTCACTTGACCAAAAAATTGAAACTTTATTAAGGTACTGTTTTATGAAAATAGGTTTAACTTGGTTTCATAATTAAAAAAACATTATAAAATATGCATATAAGAATTATTTATCATATGTTCATTTAAGAATTTCAAAAGAAAAGCCTTAAACATATTTAATAAATTATTCATTAGTTAGCGAATTGGCGAATAAGTTAGCAAGTTTAATTGTAAAAATACTTTTCTTTCCACGGAATCTCGCATAATTTCAGATTTTGATAATTTTAAAAATATTTTGTAACACTCCCCAAAGTGTCTCAATTTTTTTACTTTTTCAATAATTTTGGGTAAATTTTTCGTTTCAGAATTCAGTTGATTTAGCAATATTTTTCAGTTGATTATTGCAACTCAGGTATTATTGAGTTAATTATTTTTATGTAAACAAATTAAATCATTGGTATTTAAAAAAAATAACATTTATAAATAAATTTCAAATGCTGTCTTTGACTCAAAAAATCTGAAGATTTGCTTTTTATCTCTAGATTTTATAATAAATAATACAATATAATGATACAATTCAAAATAACGCAATAAATTTCCAATAATAATATTACATAGTGTCAATCACTTTAAGTGTGTCTAGACTAAAGCAATTTATAAAAATTTTAAGATTATTTTTCAAATTTTTTTCAAAAAAAAGTAATTCTATTGAACCGCTATCAGATGATGAAAAAAAGAATGTTTTTTTCCTAGAATAAGAGATAAAACTCAAATTCGCTTTTTACTCGTATTAAATTTCGAGTGTTTTTCTCCATTATCATATAATTTATTCAATTTTAAAAAAATGTATCCCAAACATTAGGATTATATTACTTTAGTTTGTTTATTTTATCTTGTTAAATATATAAGATTTTGTTATTGATTTTTATGAGAAACTACACAAGTGGCAAAAACTTAAATTTAATTGTAGAAATTTTTGAAATTTTTTAAAAATTGAAAAACAAATAAAAATACGAAATTTATAGCAAATGGTGCTGATCGCAAATTAAAATGCGTGTATTTAGATTCAAAATAATATAAAATTGATAATTTTAAAACAGAATATTCTCAATAATATTAAAAAATAGAAACATTCATTTAATTTTGAAACATCTTATAGAAGTTGCGCAACGAAGTGAATTTTTCATAAAAAGTTCTTGGAAAGTCTATCTAGAATGTGCTGAGAGCACAAGTTGTTGATTTTAGAAACAAAGTTAATCATTTGTTAATTTTAGAATTTTTTATTTCAAATAATGTAAAATGAATCATTTTAAAGCAGAATATTTTCAGTCATATGAAAAATAGACATTTTATAGAGGAAGAAAAATCTTATAGAAGTTGCAAAACAATATAAAATGACCTACAGGTTCAGAATGTGCTAAGCACTAATTGCTAATTTTAGAAATTTTGAAAACTTTAAAAAAAATTTTTTAAAATTACTAAGTTACTGGTGCTGTTAGTTAATCAAAGTTAATGGCTAACTAAAGTATGCATATTTCTATTCCAAATAAAATAAAGTTGATAATTCAAAGCATAATATTCTCATTTAATTTTGAAATATCTCAAAGAAGATACAAAATTTGAAAAAGGTGCTAAATTTGACTTACCGGTTAAGAATGTGCTGGGCACTTGTATCTCCTGTGAGGAAATGATTGACTTCAATCATGACTATACGATGCTAGAATGATTCTTCTTACTGCCCTGGATTCTATAAGGAAGAACACTAATCTATGACGAAAACCACCGACCTTGCTTACTATTTGTTATAACTTGAAGCATTTTAAACAGGACTTTTTATAGAAGTTAGCACACACATTTCTTGTGTTTTTTTTTTAAATCAATAGAATATATTACAATTTCTGATGTATGAGCAGTTATTTTTTAAATTAAAATAAATCTACTTATGCAAAAAGAAAATGTAATCGTAATTTTAAGTATGATGAAGTATGACTTTTTATAGGAGTTAGCACACACATTTCTGGCACTTTTTAAAAAATCAAGAGAATATATTACACTTCTTGAGGTATGAACCGTTATTTTTGAAAATAAATTAAATTTACTTATGCAAAAAAAAAAATTAGTTAATCGTAGTCATATCTTCCTTTTATATTTATGATCAGACATTTATCCTGTGACGCTGGGACACCGGTGTTCCTTTTGCATATTTTTTTGCCACTCTAATTGCAAGCTAAAATAGATTTTGGTATTTTTTAATTAAAAAAAACAGTCTAAGAGTAGCTAAAAAAATCTGTTAGATTATCGAAATTATATTTGTACTAAATTACTAAATCCTGAAATAAAGTAGTTTTAATTTTTCATATTCAAAAACTTATCAATAATTGATTTTGTAAATTAAAGAAATTTCAATTATTGCTTCTCTTAGACCTAAATAACAAGTGAAAATTTGAAAAAATTATTGTTTGAAAGTGAGACATGTTTGGAAATCTTTAACGCAGAAAAAGACACCGGTGTTGTATTTCATAAGCATAAATTATTAAAATGCTTAATATAATATTTTTCACTTATTTTAACCTAAATTAATACAAAATAATGAAAAAAGTATAAAAAATATGTTTGATAGAAATTCTGCGTCAAAGGGAGCAAGATTTGTTGTTAAAGTAATGTTATCACAAAAACATTTTTTTAAAGTCGAATAAATCAATTTTTAATAACCAAATCTAAAACAATTCTCTATTTGCTTTCGCAAAATACTGTTAACTTTGAAATAAACACGGAACTTTCTGAGAATAATAAAGCATGCACGATGCGAGATCTTTCTCACATTTCGAAGTAAATTAAGTGACTTTGTTTGGTCACAAATTCAACTGTTTGCTTGTGTTTCTCGTACCAATCAATTGTAGCGTGTGTATTATTCAAATAATATAATTGTTATCGGAGCAACAAAAAAAAGGAATAAATTAAAAGAGCCCTACAAGATTACTGTGTTGCCACTGTATAAAACGTCAAAACTTATAACAAGAAGTAAACTGTAAAGAATTTTAATGTATAGTTGCCCTCATTTTTGGTGTTGAGGTAAATTAAATGCATTGTTAAATACAGAAGTGTATTTATCGTGCAACAAATTATATAAACTTGACCAAATAACAATTGTTCAAAAGAATTAGGATGAATATATTAGTAAAAATGTGCTCGTTTTTTAAAAGAAATGCTTTTCAAATGAATCCATTAAATTATTCTAATGCTCAATATTTTTTCTCAGTGAACAAACACGCAAAGAAAGAATAAACTAATAAAACTATAACAGTGAAAAATTAAATAAAAAAGGTAAATTCATGCACTGTAAAAAAATTTATTTTACCTCGACACCGAAATTGGTAGCAACTATACACCAAAATATTTTACACTGACAGCAATATAATTAGTTTACTGGTTTAAATACCATCTATTTAGCAAGAATGGTTAATTATTATTATCATTACTGTTATTATTCAAGTTGCTGTTAATTGTTATTAGAAATAAAATTATTTATTCAATTATTTGCACGTCTACGCTTAAACACGCTACGCTTTATTTTTACATTAAAATTCCCGCTCAGTAAAACCTATGCTAATGTTTCATGATTTAAAAATCATTATTGCATTTTAAAGTTTAATCAAATTATAATGTCAAATACAAGCACCCGAATTGATTAACCTTTATCAATATCTTTAAATTAACTCAAGCTCTAGCCCTTAAATATATGAAAAATGGTCCACTTTCAAAAATACCAACTCATGAAATGCTTTTAAATTGTATAAAATAAATGATGATGGAGCACAATTTGAAATTCAATATGAATGAAAAACGAATATTTTAAATGAGATTTGTTTCCGTATTTTAAAACGAATCAATGGGATTATTTTTTTAAAAATAATAACAATTTTTTTAAAAAAAATCGTAATTTTAAGGATTTTGTTTCTGTTAAAAATTTTCTTAGGATGGATAAAGTACAATAATAGTTGGATAAAGTACAATGTCTATAAGCACTAGTATTTTTGAGGAATGTACAGTGCGTCAAAAAAAAAACGGAGCCCTGAATAACTTTTGATCTAATGATCGGATCTTCACGTTCCAGAACTCATTCTTAATGATTCGGGGGGGGGGGCTTAATTATGCTGATTTATTAGAGCAGAAGGTGTTTTAAGCAACAAAATGTGACATAAAAACATACTTTCTCGGAGTAAACATACGAGTTTGACGAATTTAGATTATTGATCCTCAAAATATGCCGGGTAGCCACAATCTGTGAAATATTTTCCTAATAGTTTGGGAAGGAGAGGAGTCCAAAGTATGGATTCCTTATTGCTAATTTTACTTTTTGCGTATTTCGCCTCACCTCAAGAACTTTATGAGCGAATTGAAATTTTTTTAAATCCAATTGTAAAATTCATTTATCCAAAGAGAATTCCATGCAAAAAATAACTTCTAGTAGATATTTATTATTTTCTTATTATTTTATTTAATAATAATCAAAAAATTTTGTATTTTAAATTATAAAATTTCTTACATCATTTTAAGGAATGTAATTTTACATGTCAAAATATAAAATTTGGTGTAAAGTAGTTAGATCCATTTTTGGTGTAAAGATACTCTAACATATTTACAGTGTATTTAAAACTGACTCTTACACACTATTGATAAAAGTATCTTTAATTATTTTTTTTTTTTTTGGATTATATCGCTGATGGTTCTTTCTTAGTTAAGGTTCTAATAATACACCGCGATTGCCTAGAGGTTAAGGCACTGAAATGTCATTGGGAAGAAATTAAAAGAGCCCTACAAGATTACTGTGTTGCCACTGTATAAAACGTCACTTCTTGCCACCGTCACTTCTTGTCACTTCTTGCCACCCTTGTGGATTGAACCTCAGTTCGATCCACAAGGGTGGCAAGAAGCCCATTCAGATTCAAATTGATGGTTACCAGACTTTCCGGAAAATAAAGACGACCAGTTCGCAATAATGACCACATTACCACAATTGTACCATTGGTCATGAAACTGAGGAGCCTTAACCATCAGTTCTCACCTGTTGTTGATATTCCCTCTAAATCTTAGCGTCATAGCTTGACAATTGCAAAAGCTACGCAGCCAAGAGTACAACTATCTATGTGTGCGTTGGCGATTTTTTACAATTTTAGAAATGGACTTAAATTCGCAACAACGAACTTGTATTAAATTTTGCGTAAAAAACGGATTTAATGGTGCGCGAAAGTTGGAAAAGTGTTTCGGCAACGATTCGTTTATCAGTGGCACGGGCGGTCGTTTATCAGTGGCACGAGCTGTTCATAAGAGGTCGTGAGTCAATCGAAGATGATGAACGCAGTGGCAAACCATCGACATCGAAAACCGACGAAAACATTGAGTAAAAGAAATGTTGGTCAATAACCGCAAATTAACCATCAGAGAGATAGCGGAGGGCTTGAACATTGCCTATAGATCCGTCCAACACATTTTGGTTAATGATTTGGGTTTCCGTCGTGTAGCAGCAAAGTTGGTGCCAAAAGACCTCAATTTCATGCAAAAAAGAGACCGTGTTGACGCCGCGAAAGACATGATTTGTTAGGCTGAATCCGATCCCACATTCATCAAAAGGATCATTACTGGAGACGAGACGTGGGTTTATGAGTACGACAAGCAATCCAGACATCAGGCAAGTGAATGGCGTTCATCAACGTAAAAGTCGCAGAAAGCACAGATGGACATACTGAAAACGGAATATAAAAAATGTTTCGATAATTGGATCAAGCGCTGGCATAAGCATTAAAAGATTATTTCAAAAAATTTAGTTAAAAGTTAAAACACAAACAAATTAACCGCAAAAAGATATTACCTCTTTTCAACCCACGCAGTTTTATCAGCTAGAATTAGTGCTTTCTGATTAAAAATAAATAATCAGAAATCAGATAAAATAATTCAATCATCAATAAACCTCAAAACATATTTTATATTAAGAGTATATTTTTTTCCAATAATAGTAAAAAAATAAGCTAACAACACTGTAAAAGGGAAATCTGTTAAATTCCGGAAAAAAACTGTCAGTTTATAAAACAGTTTATTTCGCAGAAAAATACAGTTACTTAACAGATGTTTGTTTTTCAGTCAGAAAAGTACTGTTTTTTTAGCAAACAAACTCTGCTATTAGAACAAAAGCTCTATAAAATAACTTTACCAGCATTGTGGTCCGTGCAAAGAGCAACATTCGTACGACCAGTCGACGCTGGGATTTGAACCTGGGTCACATCTCTGGCAAGCTAGCGTTCTGTCATCTCAGCTTCTGCAGGTTCAGTGCCTTAGTATGAAGAAAAATCTTAAACTGCTTTTATCTTTTTACTTATTGAAATAACATGTTAGTGTAAAAACGTTTAAAACTATAGAGTCCCACCCGTATAAAAATGTCTGGTAACTAAACTTGCCGAAATATTATAACTAAAAAAATATAATAATCAGGTCGTCGAGTATCAATTGTACAATAAAGTCGAATTGCAGTTTTAGTTATATGATGTTCAAAACCATAAAAAATTTGCTGAAAAATAAGATCCAGTAAAGAAAAGAATCGTATAATGAGTTGAAAAAAAGGTAGAGTTATCCTATTTAATCCGTTATGATTAGGATGAAAAACAGACAAAAAGTAATTTTTAGCTGTACCAAAAATTAGAGCAATCAAAATATTTTAAATTTGTCAATTTTAATAAAATGTAACTTGGAAAATTCATGAAAATTATTTGTAAACTTATTAAATAATATAGCTGCAGTTTTCAG